CGAGGGGTCGCGGACGGGGTCGACTGGCTCGGTCTGCACGGTCTGAATGATGACCAAAGACCGCTGTAAATCAGACGAGACTGCAGAACCCAAATTAGCCTGCGGAAATGCTGTTTCTCGAGGTTGCCTTCTCTCAAGGTCATCAGTGGCCTCCCGCTCCCATCGGCGCGTTTCCCCAAACAGCCAGCCAATCGGGCAAGAGGCTGGCGTCTGACCTTTCCGACCGATCGACGCACACCGGCGGATTCCGTACGGCCCGAGCGCTCGTTCCTCGGCGACAAGCTTTGTGGCCTAGTGGATGCATGAGGCGGCTTGTGCGGTATGCCCCCTCAGGGTTAATCCATGAGCGCCAGAAGACGCATGCTGCGGTGTTGAAAGCGGAAGACAAAGGGGACGCGCGGTTCGGACTGGACGATACGCACGAAACGCGGCGGCAACTTGAACGGGCTTAATCTAAGCATTTTGGTTGGATGCATTCTTTTGTCAGCACCATGTAGACAGGTGTGCTACGCGAGCCCTGACCCACCATCCGATCCCGAAACTCCCGGTCAACGGTAGCATTTTGCGGCGAAAGCAACAACGCCCGGCACGGTCCGTCCTGGCCTCTGACATTCCCTGACCTTTAGCGTGGCCGCTGCCGCCGGCCGCCGGCCACCGCAGTCAGGGGCAAACGGCCAGCGCCTGAAGCTCGCCGCGTAAAACCCACGCCGCTGGGGATGGGTGGCTTGGTGACGGAACAAGGACTGGTTCGCATGTTGGCGATGGTGGTATGCTGGCCTGGGGTGTATGCGGTGTCCGACCGCGGCGGGTCGGGGCGAGCCCGGTCGGCACAGCGAGGCGCGCCGGTCTGACGCGGGGAGGACCGCCAGCCCGGCCGGCGCCGACGGCGTCCGGCCAGTGTACTCACGCCGGTATGGGGAACGGCTGGCTGGTGTACAGGGCGGCCGGTACGTTGCTGTCGTACGCCTGTACGCCGGGGTTTGTACTGCTGTCGGCCTCACGCACGCCGGTGGGGGGCGACTCGATCTGTGGACACACGGCACCACCGTCGACACCAGCCGCATACCAGACAGCGGCAGCGGTGCAGCACGGGGTGCAGGGCGGTCGGTCCACACGCAACACAGGGCTCCATCTTCGGCCTGGGCATGGACGCCGTGGCAGAAGAGTGCAAGGTGCAAGGTGGTGGTGAATTCGTTGTGGCAATGCTTCAGCCCAAGGCTCCACGGCTAAGACAACACACAACAGGAGTCCAGTTCGGTCGTTTGAGCTTTTTCGGGCTGGAACACCGTCGTTTATACGATCGGTCCAGGCCAAACAGACCCGACTTCGTTTGAGCAGGCTTAATCCGCTTGCTTCGACGTAACGAGCTGGTTCCCGGATTTGAATGTTGACAGTGCTGACGGAAGGCTGAGTATCTGATACCCTTATGTAACACCACTAAAGTATTGCATTAAGCGGCGGCAATATTGGCGCGGAAAAGCGCAAAAACGGCCTACTGTCCAGAGCGCGCCTGCAACGGTCACCTGAAAACCACATTCCTGCGCGCAGAAAACTTACTCGAAAGGACATTGCGGGGAATCAGCATTTCGAAGATCATATATATGCGCGGGAAACATGGCATATCAAGTGTGTGAGGAGGCGTACCGATTCCCCATGCGACCACAATGAAACACTTCACTTTTTGCACTTTGCACACACAAGTGCTTTCACGGACCAGGCGACAGCGTGCGGGACCGTACGGACCGCACGACTCTGCGACGGCCGACGCAACGCCAGCCTGCGACTGGTCTCCAGCTGGCCGGTCAGCTCGCGCGAGCCCTGTCCTCGGACGGCGAGCACCTGTCACCAAAACGTCACCAAGTAGCCGCGAACAGGCACCAACGCACACACCGCATGCCGCTGCCACAAGCATAGCGACGACCCCTCCCCCCCCCCCCCCCCCTCCCCCGAGAGGACCGAGGCGGCAGCTGCGTACCGACCGGTAGCGGACGGCAGGGTGTCGCGCAATACGCGGGCGGAGGCGGAGGTGGACGCGGCTGTCCCCGAGGCCCCCTGCGAATAGCCGGGCCACGCCGAACCCGATCAATAGAGGACGGCCAAGGATGCCGCCGCGGCCGTGTGACCCCCACAGGAACAACCTCCCTCCCCTCCCCCCCCCCCCGGCACATACACACACTTGTCGTGACCTTGACCGGGACCCCACGGCCGACTGGCGGCACTCGTGGCCCAGACGTGCCGTGGCCAACTGGCATCGCTCCCGGCCGGCGTGCAGCTACCATCGACAGAGGATGACTCTGACCAGGACACCGCGCCACCCGCTGGCAGTGAGTGATTACTCACCGGGCTACGCCGTGCCATCACCAGTGCCCCCCAGTGGCGAGACGGCGGCCCACACGCACGCAGGTCGACGAAACCCCCATCGCTTCTGTCGGTGGATCCTCACCCAGCCCGACACCCGAGGCGTCGGTTACCTCACTCGCGGAAATCGACACGCCGGTGCTGAAGACGGGCGGCGACCCAGAGAGAACGCCGGCGCCGCGCGCGCCGCCGGCCGGACCCGGACGCGATGCAGCGGGCGGGCACAAAGCCCTCCCCCACCCCTTACTACCAGCGTAGCTAATCCCACCGCACAACTTTTCCGCAACATCCGGGATCAGCGCATCAGGTGGCAGCGGAGATCCCAGCGAGGAGACTCCAGTCGTGTCATCCGACCCACTGCCGCTCGGTCCGGCTGGCCCGTGACAGGCCAGGCGGCGGGCTTCCCCAGCCGCGCCAGCTTCCCGCGGAAGATTCCTCCGCCGGTCTCGCGTGGATGGCACGGGTTTCCCGCCCACCGTGACACAGCCGCGCCACGCTGTGATGAGCTGTGACGTTTACCGAGAAACGTGCAGGAACGCTGCTTCCAAAAACGTAGGTAGCGTTCACTTCGTCAACGCTCCCTTTGAATGAAAAGTGACGCGCGGAACTGGACGTCCCAGGACTCGGCGCATACCAAGCAGCGTGCAACGACAACAGGCATGGCGTCCAACAGCGACGAACACCATCGAGTCTGTCGTTCGGTCAGCGCGCTGTCCGCGCCTGCGTGCCGGCCTCGGCCGCCGGCTCACCCTGTGCTCCTGCTGACTGGGCTGGCTGGTGGGCGTCTTGCCGCGCGCCTCGTCGGCGGCCGGCGCCGCGGCGCGCGCGCACCGCCTCTTGCCGAGTGGCGTCTGCGACACGTCCTCGTCCCGCGCCGGCTCGTCCGGCGCCAGGCTTGAGCAGGAAGAGTGCGAGCGCGCCGAGCCGGGCCGGTGCCTGCCGGGGGGGTGAGGTCAGGGGTAGGATCAAGGCGCCGCGGGCGGCATGACAGCTGCTCAATGAAGGCTGCTCAATGCAAGGCGTTCACGCTCGTTATGGCGTGTGCTGCTAGCGACCCCACAAGACTCGGGTTCACAGCAATCATGCGCCAAAAGAATGGCGATGACCCAACCAGAGAAAATTCTGAGCCATCTCAACACATCAACGGTAACGTATGGCGACATTCAAACATCTGTACCACCAACCATCGCGTGTGCCTACACCACTATCGCAGTTGAACGCCTCCTTCGATGGCCAGGAGTGCTGAAGTAATTGAGTCAATATTCTGGGAGCCACACCAATAGCACAATGCCCCGTAGACATAATCACGAGAGTAAGGACGCTGTCACCAACACAAGCGCTTGTGACCAAACCAAAAACGAAAACATTCCTCCAACAGATAACCCTTCTCTTACTTTGGTACCGACCAAAAACAGGATGATGCACCCCATTTCGCGACCTCGTGCCTAACGAAACACACAACTTTGAACGGCACAAAGACAAGAGCATCCCACCACAATAGAACAGACATGTCACGCATCATCACAAGCACACCAAACGAACAACCATTGCCCAGCGACAGCGCGCACATCACTAGCGATCAGCTGGTCTCCCTCCAGGCAGCCATCGGGGCGCGACCGACTTACTTGCTGGCGCCGGCGGCGTCCTCCCGCTTGCCCTGCCTGCTGTGGGCGGTCCGAGTCCCTCCGACGCCTCTTCATGCCCGCCGGCGACACCTCACAGCGCGCGGCGGCCGCTCGCTGCGCGCCGCCCTCCCGCGCCGCGCCGGGCGGCTGGGGCCGCCTCGTCGCGGGCGGCGCCGCGCGGCCGCGTCGGCTCGTCGCGCGTCCGCGTGCTGGGCAGCCTCCTCGCGCCGCGGGCCGGGCGCGCCGGCGCCGCCTCCCCCCGAGCCCCACTGCGCGGCGTCGCGTCGGCGTGACGCGCCCCGGTCCGCTGCTGCGCAGCCTCCTCGCGCGGCTCGCCGGGCGGCGGCCGCGTCAACAAGTCGCTTCTCGATGCGGCAGCGCAGCACCGGCACGCCGCTCTGCCGGCTGAGCGGCGGCAGCGGCACGGCCGGTGCCGCCAGCACGGCCGCCGGCACGGCCGCTGCCGGCGGCGGCGGCGGTGGCGCCGGCGCCGAAGCCACAGTCACAGGCGGTGCCGCGGCCGGCGGCGCCGAAGCCGGCGGCGGCGGTGGCGCCGGTGAGGCTTGCCCTTCGCTGCGCTCGCTGGAGGTGGTCGGCCGGCCGCGCGGCGTGCCTCGCTTGCCGCTGATCCGGCGTGAGAAACAGACGGCTGAAGGTGGCCTTCTTGTTGGCGTCGCTGGTGCCCACGCCGCTGGCGTCCAGCTTGGGTGGCGAGTCCGAATCGGACGAGTCCGAGTGGTGGGCGGCGGCCAGACGCGGCTCTGGCTTTGGGCGGGCCTCCTCGTCGCTGCTGGCTGCCGGCTGCGGCGGGCGGCGGCGCGGCGCCGGCGCCGGGGCCTCGTCGTCCGAGGACGAGTCAGACGCCGTGCTCAGCAGCTCGCGCGACTGGTACTGCGCCTCGCGCGCGGCCGACGCCCGCGGGCGCGCCGCCTCGCGCCCGCGGCCGCCGGCGCGGGCCGCCTCCAACGCCGCCGGCGGCGGCCCCTTCAGGCTGCCTTTGGTCGGCACGGACTGCGTCGCTGGCCGCGGCGGCGGCGGCGGCGGCGGCTTCGGCGGGGCCTGCTCCTCCTCCGAATCGCTGTCGCTGGCGGCTGCCGGCGGCGGCCGCCGCGGCGAGGGCTTCAGCTTGACACGCGGCCGGCCGGGCCGCCGCGGCGGGCCGTCGGCCGGCGGCGGCGGCGCTCGCCGTTTGGAGCGCTCCAGCTTCTCGCTGTCACTCTCGCTGAGCGCGGAGAGGCGCGGCCGCGGCCTCTTGCCGCCGGTGGTGGAGCGCACGCTGGCCGAGGCGGCCGGCTCGGCCGGCGGCGCGCACTCGTCCTCCGAGGACGAGGACGACTCCGACATCTCCATCGACACGGGCCCGTCCGACAGTGTGGATGGAGTCGCATTTTTCCACCTGCAGGACAGCGGCGGCGTCAGGACAAGCCGCGACGACAGCAGTACGGAAGCGCAAGGACGTTGCCAGAGAGAAGGACGCTGCCAGACAGCTCACGCCCAGTGAATTACGCATAGCACAATCCTGCTGTGTCCGTGACAAAATTGCATGATAAAATGAAGCGTTTAATTCATCACATTTGGGGAAATCAATATTAAGAAGGACCAATTCATTATTCTGTACGGCTGATCGCTACATCAGACACCATCACACTTCTCATATCAAAACGTCGAGAGGCAGCGGACACCAGAGCTGTAACATCATGGCTCGGCTGTCGGGGAGGCGCCAAGCTGTCGCGGAATGCCAAAAAAGGTTTCCGTCAGTACCGGAGCGTTCAGATCAGGCCACTGGACTCCACGGGACGTCACACAAACAAAGACAAGCTCACGGCGGAAAAGCTGAGAAGCTGAGCAGAAGAATTTGGTGGCTCCCTGACGGTACGCCTGTCGCCACAGGGCCAGTCTAACGATCTCCTTCCTACTCACAATGTGCACGAAGCGTGCGCAGTCGGCCAACTGTTGCGGAACTCCCCAGCGGCTCCGTCAGTTACGCACGCCAGTCGCTCTAAACTCTCCGGCCAAACTTCTGCCGTCGGGGAGTGGGCCGTCCCGCCGCGGGCGCCGCGGGGCGCTGCGACGGTGCCGACGCCTCGGAACCAGGACAGACGGCGGCTCCGTGGCGTCGCTCGAGCAGCGCTGGGAGCCCGGCAGCGGCCACGTGGCGCCGCGAAGCCGCGGAGGAACGCCACCGTGGCGCCCCTCGGACCGCGTGTAACAGATCGGCTCGGTGGGAAGGCGGTCCCAGAGCTCCAGCCGAAATCACGAGTGTGGATACCCCGGGTCACACCTGGCGCTTCTCGCCAGATCGGCCCGCACATCTGCACACTGCATGCATTCCAACGACTTGCCCTGACGCCTTCCTCGAGCGCGCTCAGCTGTCGGCCAGGTCAGCCCTACCTCGCACGAGGACGCCAGCCTCCAACCACGCCGGCTGGCTCCCGACCTCCTCTCGCCACACGGAGAGCTTCCGCAGCTCGACCGCGACGACTCTGCGATCAATAGCACGGCGGCCGCCGCAGCCGTCCGGCCCAGTGTCCGGCCCAGTCCCCGTGTCGACTTGTTTACGGGGCCATGATGAACGCACACTGGAAATTGCCCGCGGCGCAGCGGCAGGACATCTCGCGGCGAAAAACAGCCGGCGACGGCCGGCTGCCGCCCGCGCCGCGCCGACGTCCAATCGAGTCGCACAAGCGGCGCCGGCGGCGGCCACTTTTGGCGGCGTGCCGGCGCGGCCGACGGTCGGCCGACGGCGGCGCTCCATCTCCCGCCGAGTTGAGCGTTCGGTGCTGCGCCTCGGCCCCGGCAATGCCAGGCCGGACTCACGGGACCGGCGGCCAGCGTGGCTATTAGCGGCAACGGGCGCGTCAAGGTCTACGGCGCAAGCTATGCGCTTGCAAAGGGGGGGGGGGGGCAGCGCGTGGAGTGATCATGAACATACTCATGATCACGTGGATTGGCTAATGGGGAGAATTACCCCGGCACAGAAAGTACCGTACATTGATCGAATGTGGTTGGTTGCCATGGCAACCCGCTCATGTGGCACGTGGAGCCGATGGCAAGGACAAGACGGCGCCTGCACACGCAGACCGCCCGTTCACCACCACTGGCTGGTTCCTTCCCGGATGACGCCGACTCATGACGCCGTCAGTGCGGCGGAGCAGCGCCGGCAGAGGGAGGTTCAAACGTCGGCAGGGGCCAGCACACTCTAGGAGCGCTCGGCGACTGTGCAGGGAGATCACCGGCGGTCAGGGGAGCTTGGCGGAGACAGGCGGAGATCAAAACGGGTCGGCAGATATCGGCAGAGGTCAGCAGAAGTCCGCCAACCATCGGGGGTCAGCCGCGGCCCTGTCCAGGTCAGCTGATATCGGCGGAGGTCAGAAGTCCGCCAGCAACCGGAGGTCAGCCGCGGCCCTGTCCAGGTCAGCAGAGGTCGGCAGAGGTCAGAAGTCCGCCAGCCGCCGGAGGTCAGTCACGGCCCTGTCTAGGTCAGCAGAGGCCGGCGCCGGCCTCCTCACCTGCGAGACGAGCTCCTCGATCGAGATGTCGTCGCCGTGCCCGTTCAGATCCAGCGTCTCGGCGCTGCTCGGCCCGGCCGGCTCGCTGCTGTTGGGGAACTCGTGCGGCGACAGCTGGAACGGTCCGCGCGCGCGTCAGCGCGTGGCTCGCCCGGCTGGGGTCACGGGCGAGTCACAGGGTCGCGTCAGCGCGTGGCTCGCCCGGCTGGGTCACGGGCGGGTCACAGGGTCGCGTCAGCGCGTGGCTCGCCGGGCTGGGTCACGGGCGGGTCACAGGGTCGCGTCAGCGCGTGGCTCGCCGGGCTAGGTTACGGGCGGGTCACAGGGTCGCGTTGGCGCGTGGCTCGCCCGGCTGGGGTCACGGGCGGGTCACAGGGTCGCGCCCGGGCGCGGCGATTGACGGGGCACCTTCACGCCAGCCCACCGGTGGGGGCCGCCACCCGATCCCACTGCGCGGCGCACGTCGGCGCCGTGCGGCGGCCGTGAACGGCACGACAGGAGGACGCCGTGCTGTTTAGATACGGCGTGCGATCCTGACCGGCATCACAGGGCGTGGTTCTGGCCTCGGTGGTTGCGCCGGGACAATGCGGGCCCGGCGGGTTAATTTTCGGGCTGTCACAATGTGCGGGATTTGAGGGTCTCAAGGTGAGGCCTACGTCAGCAGGATGTAGCTCAATCACAGACTAAGTCAACAGGTCACCAGTTGCGAAGAGGGTCACAGCGAACGGCGTCAGGTTAGAAGGGCGTCGCAGGGTAGCGACTCTAGTCCAACCAATCCGTGATTGGTAGACTATGGTAGAGGTCAGCATGCATAAATCGCTAAGTTCAGGGAGCAGCTTTCCCGTAACGTCAGGGGTTGACGACGAATATCCCAACCCACCACGCTCTCAGCTCTCAGTTCACTTCACCCAGTTCAAAACAACGGGGTCACACCTGAACAAAATCCTGAGCTTGTCACTAGGAACATGGGCACTGACTGGCCCAAAGCCACAGACAAACTTTTGTTCCTGTGTTCGCGCATAACCGCCTCCCTGAGATCGCAGCAGCTCAACCAATGCCACGGTTGGGCCGCTCAGCCGCCCACGCCACCGCGCTGCCCAAAACCGCGCCGACCGCCGGCGTGGCGACCGTCCGCCCCGGCGGCCGGCCGGCGGCGGCGCCACCGTCGGCGGCTACCTTGCGCGCCGGCGTGTCCTCGAAGATGGACGAGACGGGCGTGCCGGCCGGGTCCTTGTTCATGATGGAGCGCAGGCTCCACTTCACGCCCGCGTTCGCGCCCGGACTCTCCGAGCCCTCCTGGAACGGCAGGCGCGCGACGTCACGGATCGCGGGAACTCCGGCCGGCTCGGTCACCGCCGACACGACCGGGGGAGGGGAGCTCCGGGAACGTGAGGGGAGGTCGGCGCACGTCGCCAAGACCGGTCACGGCGGCGATAGCCAGCAACGTCAATAAATATACCGGTCACCACGATGTCACGGCTCCTGCTACCGAACCCGGCCTCGGCTTCCCGCACGCCAGCTCATGTGGCCAATCCACCCACACCGGTCCAGTCACGCAGAAAAGAGACCGCCGGCGGTTAATCCTTGGCCAACGACTGCAAACTGGTGTCCTTGGAGCTTTTATGACGCACTCAGTTGCTGAGGCTATATAGCGTCGCCTGCCTCTCACCCTGGCCGGAAGGGCAGGCACCGCGGGGATCGAACCCCGTACCTCTGGTTTCCCAGACTGCAAACTAGTGACCGTCGGCGCCGCCTCACCATAGTCTAACACCGGCGCACATGGGGTTCGCTGCGGGACCACACAGAGCCCGTCTCCCGCTACCCTACCACAGCCGACCACACCGCGCCGGCGGAACGAGAGCGGCACCGGTCGGCGCCCCGCGTTCGCAGCGGTTACAGGCTAGAGCGACGTGCACGACAGAGTACGGCTGGCACGACCGGCGCGGCGGCGCACAGCAGCGCCTGGCAGGGTACGGCAGGATACAGAGTACATCGCGGGACAACAGGACACAGCGGGGTAAACCGGGTAAATCGAGCCCGCCAGGACGTCGCAAGACGCACGGGGTACGGCAGAGCGGGGCGAGGCAATGCAGAGCGTTCTGGTGATCGGGGCGCGGCTCCTTCCGCCCGCGGACCGCCGTCAGGCACCGCAAGGCAGGCGGATGGTGTGCGGCCTATTCAACCTGGTGGGACTATGCAGAATCGAGTTGCAGGCTGGAAATCGGCGAGTAATTTTCGTATAGCCTGGACGTGAGATGCAAAAATCGAGAAGTGAAGTGACCAAAGCTTATCGAATTAAATGTACAAAATTCCCGACGCATACCACAGCTGTCACCTGCGACGTCACAATGTTACAGATGTATATTTTACTGCATGTCACAGCTCTCCAACGAGCACTACGCACCAGGTCATGCCATAAGGGTTACGCCACAGAAACGCTAATAGTGCAACGAACGTTACCGGCACGCGCCGAATGATGAACGTTGTGCCAATGATGAACGTTGCCGGCACGCAACGTCCCGAATGTAGCGAACCCGGCTGTTCATTTTCCCCTGATCCATCACTCCACCATTCGCGCGGCGGGTGCGGCGGACGCGGCGGGCGCAGCGGGCGCGGCAGGCGCCGCTGCCCGGCGCCCCACCGAGCGTCTGAGAGCGGCCCGTAGCGCCTAATGGCCGTCCCGTGCCCGGGCGCCGACCAACAGCGTGCGTCCGGCGCACGCCGCCGGGCAGCGGCCGGTCCGTGCAAAGGTCGCGTCGGGACGGTCGCGTCGGGACCGGGAACCGGATAACGATAGGTGGCTTGGAAACGGGACACAGGGACGACACACGCAGAGACAAGCCTCCAAAAACCACCGTTCAGCGCGGACATCTCGCACAAAAGCCGGCGGTCACAGCGATCACTTTTGGTTCGCACTGCGAATGACAGAGCAAACCATTGTTCCGCATAAAACAGTGCACACAGAGGCGGGGCGGGACCAGCTTCACACGGCAGGAGGGCGCGGAGCACGCCCCAGCAGCATGACCCGCAACTCCGACGACAGGATCGCTGCCGGCGGCATCGCCGGTAATGCGGTGGCGCAGGCCGCCCCCCCCCCCCCTCCCCCAACACGGGGGCTTCCGCGGCCGGCTCCGAAGAGCGCAGACGCCAATACCGAGCCCCCACCCCGGTTAACACGCAGGCCTGGGGAGGTGGGAGAGGCCGCCCGCACCAGCCGGGCAACGGCACACGGCCGAGCCGGCGAGACCAGGTCACTCGCCGGCTGAGACCAGGCTGAGACCAGGTCACTCGCCGGCTGAGACCGGGTTGAAACCAGGTCACTCGCCAGACAGAGGCGGCCCCGCCGGAGGCGACACAGTGACGTCACGACCGTGAGTCGTGACCGTCCTGACAGCCAGACCGACGCAGCACGTAACTAAATAAGCCATGACTCGCGAAAATAGCGCTGGGCTACGTCACCAGCCGCGGTAAGAGCGGTGCCATCGCGGGCCGCTGACGTCACCCGGCTGACTCCGGCGCCGCGACAGCACACACACGTGCACACCACGACACACTCGTACACACGACACACGACACGCACGTGCACACCACGCCGTCGTAGGCATAACGCACGCCGACACAACACCAGTCCCGTGGCGAACGGCGTACCTCTGGTGCTCGTCAGATCGGTGACCGGCCAGCAGACAGGCGCCAGTACGCCAGCGTCGTCACGCCGGCTGAGGGCCGTCCGACCTAACCGCGTGACGAGGCCCGCGCATCACACCGTCACGGAACGCTCGCCTCGCCGCGTCGCAGCTGGCGTGGGGGTTGCCGGCGACTGCGAACCCCTTACCTGGCCCGGCGCCCAGTGCCGTGCTCGTCCTGCGTCTCGATACCGTGACCTGGCCCGTGAACACCTCCACTCACCTTCCGCTCGGCCGGCGTGGTGGGCGGCGGAGGCTCGGGGCTGGGCACAGCGGCGCGCCGCTCGTCCGCCGACTCCTCCGACTCCGACTCCGAGTCCGAGTCGCTGGACGAGCCGCTGGAGGCCGCGCCCGGCCGCGCCGGGGCCGCCGTCCTCGCCGGCGCCGCCGGCGTCATGTTCGCCTCGCTCGCGGCCGCGGGCGACGGCCGGCTGTGGACATCCGAGCGCGACCGTCAGAGTTCCGGCCGGCCAGTGCGCGGGAGGGGCGACTCCGATCTCCCCCAGGCCTTCCACACATCGGGCGGATGATCGGTTCCAGCGCGGGCGCAAGGCGTCCGGCCGGCCGGCGGATCAGTGATTAATGGAGAATCAATGGGCGGCGCGCGACAGCTCGTTTCCTGCCGACGGAGGCGGGCAGAGGCAGATGGCAGACGATGAATGCGCACACTCGTAGCTTGTTATCACTAAAAGCCGCCGGCGCCAACGCAACATCTGGCTGTGTAGAGCAAAAAAACAAACCGACAACGGCCAAAAGTGAGCACCCGTACCACCTCACGATGACACAGCATTTACCAACGCTAAAATAAAACCACCAGAGGCAAGAGTCCCATGACGCTGACTGCAGACGAATGCCTGCTTCTAGGGAAATACGTCGCCAGGCGGTCGCCAGGGCACGTGGGACCCAGCGACCCGGTGCCGGCGCTGGAGACAGACGGACGCCGAGGCATTAACGCCTCCCTGGCTGGTCACTACTGACCAGACTGTCCGGCAGCCGAGCCGGAGAGGCTTCGTGCCCCATCCAGCCAGGCCGATCAATGCCACGTGGCTCGGGCGGCGCTGGCGCCTCGTGACGCTGCACGGGGAGAGCATATGCACCGCTGGGCGGGGCTGCATGGGACACCACACCCCCTGTCAGCCTCTCCCAGCCCCTCCCATGGCGGCCGCGCGCCGCCGGCCGACTCCACGCGACCCCACGGCCGGTCTCATACTACTTGTTACATGACTGGCGTCCCTTTACTCAGCCGCGGAACGCTTTGCCCGGCGTTCCGAAAAGACGCTGCCGACGCTCGCACCCTCCCCGAAATCGCCCCCCCCCCCCCCCCCCCCCTCCCTCTCGAGCAGCGTCGAGCCGCCCCTCGTCGCGAACCCATCGGCCCGGATCGTAACCGCGGCAAGTAGCCGAACTGCGGCAGTGAGCGCGGAAACTTCTGCCGCCGGCCCAGCTGGGCCAGCGGCAGAGGCTGGGCTCACACAGGCGGTGAAGCTCTGTGCCTGCCTTCTTCTTCTAATAGCGTGTTGGACCCTTGTGCTGACCTTTCAGACTCATCCCAGCGATTCTCAAGAAGTAGTGTGGCATGCCTAATTAATCGGGGAAGCGGCCGTGTGCCCTATGCACCTACCACCCCCTCTCCTCATCGGAGTGGGGGGGGGGGGGGCAGCCAGGCACTGTTCCTCTTGACCTCGCTGCAAGGTGCAGATCCAACCAAGCAAATAAAACTCCGCCGCTGGCCGCCCGGCACGCAGCAGCCGATGGCGCAGCGGTGACCGGGGAATGTCAGCAGGTCAGGTCAGGTCAGGTCACGGCAATTCCTCACCCGCCAAACGAGCGTCACGTCACGGGTCGAATGCTGCAACCGAGATCAAGTTCACGAACGGCTCGCCTGGAGGATTAACCGCCACGGCACCGGCTGGTGGCCTGCTGGCGTGGCGGCGTCGGCGCGAGCTCCGCGCACGCCGGTCCATCCGCGCACTCCAGCGACGCGCGGTCTACGATCTGGCAACACGTCCCGAGCCACGGCGCAGGGGGCAGCGGCGACCCGTCACCAGCCCGGGCCGAGACACCGGCGGCCAAGTCAGCCCTGAGCGAAGCGGAGCATGCGCCCGCGGGAGACGGCGGCTGGCAACGGCCGGACCCGCACAGCGGCCTGCACAGGCCGAGACACCGGCGGCCAAGTCAGCCCTGAGAGGAGCGGACCCGCAGGAGACGGCGGCTGGCAACGGCCGGGCCCGCACAGCGGCCTGCACAGGCCGAGACACCGGCGGCCAAGTCAGCCCTGAGAGGAGCGGACCCGCAGGAGACGGCGGCTGGCAACGGCCGGGCCCGCACAGCGGCCTGCACAGGCCGAGACACCGGCGGCCAAGTCAGCCCTGAGCGAAGCGGAGCATGCGCCCGCGGGAGACGGCGGCTGGCAACGGCCGGACCCGCACAGCGGCCTGCACAGGCCGAGACACCGGCGGCCAAGTCAGCCCTGAGCGAAGCGGAGCATGCGCCCGCGGGAGACGGCGGCTGGCAACGGCCGGACCCGCACAGCGGCCTGCACAGGCCGAGCGCGCCGAGCGGCGGTCCCGACGGATTAGATTTGTCGACGGTGCCGGGCCGGGCGGAGAGCAGGCGGCTGAGGAGGCCGGGCACGTCACCCGACGTCGTAGCTCATCACGACGTCGACGTCCGCCGGCGTCGCAGAAGGCCCGCCGCCGCGCGCGTCTGCGCACCGGCCCGGCGCGCGTCGACCGCCGCCGGGTGGCGGCTGACGCCAGCGAGGATCGCGCCCGGCCGCGGGCGGGAGCGTCACCGCCGGCCGGCTCTGGGCGAGCGGCGGCCAGACGAGAACGGCCGCGGGCAGGAGCGGAGCCGCCGGCCGGCCCCTGGGCGAGCGGCGGCCATACGAGACTGGCCGGCTGGAACCGATCGGCGCCGGACGGCGGCCGCCGGGCGCCATTACAAGCGGCGGCGGCTGACGCCACGGTCCGAGACGGGCTCAACCAGCCGCCGACAGCTGCCGAGCCGCCCATAGCGACAGACGCCCGTCCCGCTGGCACTACTGGGCCGGCCCGCCCGCCGACAGCGGCGGCAAGTCGACCGGTAAAACACACGGGCGGCAGCCGCCGTCCACTAGCCGCACATAACCCAGGCATGCGGCGCGCCTGGTACGGCCGGTCACGAGCTCCCAGCTGCGCCCGACCGAGGAAACTAACTGCCTCCTTCGGCAGCCAGGGACCGTTCAGCGCCCTTTATGACCGGAAATATGTCGGCGGGAGGAAGCCGCAGCGCACGCGTCACTGGTAGGAGAGTCGATGCTCGACCACTTTCAATGCCGCCGCGCTCCCCACCCCAACCCGCCCACTACCCACCCCCATCCCCCTCCCCTTCGCTCCCCCGGATCCGACGGAGCGTAGATGGCGCACGTGGCCGTCTGTACGCTGGCGAGTGGCAGCCAGGGACGCTGGACAGCTGACGGTCGGCTGGAGCGACGACACATCGCGTGCCGTCGACGGGCGACGGGGACCTGTGCTGCGGCCCCTGCCCATGGCCTTCACGCTGCGACTAGCTATACCTGTCGTGTCCCACAGGACGTAATAGCATCTCGAGGCTGCTCAAGGCCCTTCCATATTCACACGAACCTTGACTCGGGTGGGCTTGTTTCCTTGGCCCTCCAAGTACGGTGAATCGGAGGCGTTTCGAGCAAGCGAAACTGGTCGCTGTAACACACTTATGGCGGGTAAACAAAGATCAATAACAATGGAGTCTGCTGTGACGCTTTGCGGAAAGGCCCGTGCCAACAGAAAGAAAGGGAGGTTTGTGTCTTCTTGTCGGCACTGACTTGCCGCAGACGAAACATTTCCATCATGTGAAAGGCGTCATCCAAGCCACAACACCCAGGCACCTGGCGCTTTCTCTACCTTCAACCACCTGCGACGTCGGCGTAGATAACGCCTAAACCCCACGTTAGGTCTCTAGCCTTTCACACCACTTTCTTAGCATCGCGCTGAATAAAATAACATCTTAGCACCGCTCTGCCCCAGGTCTACAGAGGATCTCACCGCTATGCCCCAGGTTTACAGACCATCTCACCGCCCTGCCCCAGGTCTACAGAGGATCTCACCGCTCTGCTCCAGACCTACGAAGGGTCCCATCGCTTTGTCCCAAACCTGTGCAGGACCCCACCGCTCTGCTTTAGACCTCGGGAAGAGCCAGAACTCTGCTCCAGACCTCGGGAGGAGCCGACATTCTGCTCCAGACCTCGGGAGGAGCCGACATTCTGCTCCAGACCTCGGGAGGAGCCGACGCTCTGCTCCAGACCTCGGGAGGAGCCGACGCTCTGCTCCAGACCTCGGGAGGAGCCGACATTCTGCTCCAGACCTCGGGAGGAGCCGACGCTCTGCTCCAGACCTCGGGAGGAGCCGACGCTCTGCTCCAGACCTCGGGAGGAGCCGACGCTCTGCTCCAGACCTCGGGAGGAGCCGACATTCTGCTCCAGAACCTCGGGAGGAGGCCGACGCTCTGCTCCAGACCTCGGGAGGAGCCGACGCTCTGCTCCAGACCTCGGAGGAGCCAGCGCTCTGCACCGGGCCGGGGCGGCGGACCCCGCCGCTCTGTCCCGGGCCTCGGCAGGAGCGCCGCCGCCCGGGGCCGGCGGGACGGCGATACATCTCGGCCGACACTAATTGACGGCGCGGCGTCATGTGCGAGCGCCGGCGAGCGGCACCGACGCCGACAGATGGACCAATCGCGAGGCTTAGCAGCGGCGGCGCGGCGGCGGCGGCGGCGGCGGGCGCCCGGCGGGCTGGATGAATGCGGCGGCGGCGGCGGCGCGATTACGTGGGCAGGGATGAACGACAGGACGCGGCGGCCGGGTAACGGCGGACACGCCGGCATTAGGGGCTCAGTGGCACTGCCAATCACACGGCGGGGGAGACACGGACACCATGCGATGGCTGCTCCCTTGCGTCGACTGCGTGCGTGTTGCGATTAGATGACATTGGCGTCGTGCGTGATAGCAAATCTACGCCTGAAGCCTGAAAAAATCAGACAACGCGTCGCGACATAGATGGTGCAACCCATACCACGCCCATCACAACGACACTGGCAGGCGCGTGGGTGTACGGCTCCGCGCGCGGGTAGATCATCGTGCACCACGCACGCACGCACGCGCGCACACATGCGTCACGCAACGCCAGCCGCCAGCGGACCGCCGCCGCCGCCGCCGCGCCGCTGCATACGGCGCCGCACTCCAGCCGGATCAGAACACTGGCTCGCAGACCCATCT